GCGTGGGGCAGTTCCACCCAGTGCCAGTGGCAGCAGCAGCACCTGGCTGAGAACTCTTGAGGTAAGCTAAGGCAGCACAAATGTGGTTTTCAACCAGGGTGCTGCCTAATACAAAAATGTTATGAAGGGTGCCTGAACCACTGGTGTAAAACAAATTAAGCATGGATCATAGAAAAAAAGATTGACAAGTAAGAAAAAAATCGGGGCACTGGCGCAATATAGTCTTATAAATCTACTTTGTTTGGGCCCTTTGTCATGGGGAAATGGATCATGTGAATGTTCTACCCCAGAATAAAAGTGACTTTATTCTAGAATAAGTACTTAGCTCACAGAAAGCAGAGCATTTACTGCAAGCTAATTTTGGAATGGTGTCTACATCAGAGAGTTGTTCTTAAATAGCTAAATAATATTGGGATGGCTACTCCAGAATAGCTGTGTCAGATAACTATGCTGATCAATTGCTCCCATGTAGACAAGACTTCAGAGAGCAGGTAGTTGATCTTTGAAGAAAGAGCAAACAGGAGTCTAACAGGAGTCTAAAAGTAAAATAAAGAAAAAAGGCATGGGGTCCCTACACCTGAGAGTGAGAGATCCAGTTTTTTCATCACCCACAAAAGAAAAGGCAGTTTCAACCAGTGATGGAATCCTGGAGACTGAAAAAAGTAATTACCAGCCTCATGTCTGCCATGCCAAAACCAGGATCATGGCAGTGCATGGAATTATGCATGCATGTTATAATTTGCTAGGCAAATAGCACTAGTAACAGTAACTAGTGACACAAGTAATTTCTCTCCCAGAGACCTGACAGAATACTGGGGTTCCCAAAAGCTTGTCCAAATCTACCCCAACCATGCAGTTGGTCCAGTAAAAGATATCACCCACATAACACCATTCCTCTTGCATAATAACAGAAAAACAAGGAAACAAAAAAAACCAGAGAAACTCAGAAAGGGTACTTCACAGGGCCCAAGAGCTTATTTATTTTGTATTACTAAATAAGGCCTGGTTGGTAGCCTAATGAAAACAATGGTTACACATTCCCTACGATTCAGTGGGCTTTGCATCAAACCTATATTTCAGGCCTCCAGGAAAAAAATTGCCATGGTCTAACATCTATTAACTGTTCAACCCTGGCTATAAAAGTTCTGTTAAATGAAAAAATTAGTCCACCTCTAGAAAATATTCTAAGCCAGAAGCAAGGGCTGTTTCTACAATTGCATCATCTGCCAATACACTAAATGCTGCCTTTATGCATAAAGTACTTGGTGCCCAGAGCTGTAAAAGCAATTAGAAGCAAATGCACTCCTCAGAAAAAGGTCTTCTAAACCAAAAAAACCCACAAGAAATATCTATTTTTTACTTCACTCCAAACTCAGGGCCCAGAGTAAATTTTATATCTATCTATCTATAGATAGACATAGATATAGATAGATAAATATAGATATATATATAAAATTCTGTAACTTCAAAATGGACTACACAGACAGGTTATGCTACTGATGTCTAAACCCAAGTATTTTAGAGTTAATGGACTATTAACAACAACTGCTAATTGATGTTCCCTCCAATGTCATAGTCAATATTTAATTGTTACTCTGCTTGAGTGGCTCACAAAATTGTTAATGGATTAGAGTGCTTCACCTGTTGGCAGGCCATTAATCTAATGCCGAAAGATTCTCCTCTGGCATTTCCAATGCATTCTAAACCAGTCTTGACTAAAAATTATTACTAGTAGAGGGCTCCTTACTGCCCAGTGTGTTAAGAGTTAGCAATTTAAGTTCAGTTTCTACAGAACGTGAGTCCCTGACAAAAACTGCCACAAAAAGTATTTAGCATTAGAATGATGACTGGTTAGACAAAGGCTTTGAATTACTGTATCATCACTAACGACAGTCTCTCCATAATAATGACCATATAAGTTAGTGAAACACTGCAAAGAAGCCTTCAATATAGCCGCTTATTTCACACCAATTACTGGCCAGTTAGACCAGTAACAGAACAGTAGGCTTGAGTTCCAGAGAAATCCAAAATACTTTAGCTTTTTACAAACAATATATTGTAACTAACTAAATAATAATAATAAATAATTATGTTAATAATAATAATGATAATTATGTTATTGATCTAACTTGAACAGTACCACTTACAGTCATGTTATAATATAAACCTACTAAAGGAAAATAAAAACTAAATTCAAAGTAAGGGCAGAGGAAATGAGGATGCAGGAGTCCAGAAGATACAGGAGAAATCTGGATAAAAGTACAGAAAAGAGAGGGAAAATAATGGAAACCATTTCCTCAAAACTTAAAGCTTAAAGAGCTCACAATCCTGAATTTCTTTTATAGATCAGAGTAAAGGCAGCAGACAAGTAGTTTGGATGGACAATTAGTTTGGATGAAGTTTGCTAAAGCACTATGATATAAGGTAAAGACACATAAGCAAAAGAAGATGAAATACAGAAAATAAATGTTGGTATGTAAAAAAACTAAAGAAAGAAAGGAAGAAATCCACAATGTGGTACTGAGCATAACAAGAAACAATCTTTTCTTTGGTTATTAAATAATTACCAATGAGAACTACAAGGTGTATACTTAGGGACTTATGGCTGAAATAATACTTGTGTAGGTGAAAGGTAGAAAATGGACAGGCAAACCCACCCTAGTCCAAGTTGTGATTGTGGCTCATATAGTTATACCCAAAATAGCTTGGAGCTGATAGCAGTAAAGCTATCTGGCTAAGGACAGACATTCAAAAAGCCTGAATTGATTCAATCTTTGCGAGTTAGTCTAACCTGCAACGCTTGAACCGATTTGGAGGTGGATAGACATTCCCTTTTCATTCCAGAAATGCAGCCACACGCCTGCAGTGGCTCAGGCTAGAAGCTGGGGTGAGGTGGCTAGACCCCAGCAGCAGACTGTGATTGGGGAGGGTTCCCCCCGTCATGAGCAGCCCAGCAGGGAATGTTTATCATCCCTAACTCAGTGTTTATCAACCCATTAAGAAAACAAGAGAGAGACATTACTAGCTATCTGTTGATTCTACCTTGTGTGCCACTGCTGAGAGGTAGCCAGCATGTGGTCTGCCAGCTAATGCTGAGAGGGAGCAGGGAATGCCTGCTTAGCGGGCAGGGGAGGGGAGGGAAGGGGAGGGCACAGGGTGGAGCAGAAGCCAGGCAGATACCTGCAGAGACTGCTGGAGCAGCAGCCAGGGAGCAGAGGGTACAGGCCAGCTCTGCTGTGGATCAGAGAGCCCCACCCAGCCCAGAAAGCATGCTGGGATGCTGGGGAGGTCTGATTTCACTTAAACCAGCAAGGGGTCTGGGACAGACATTGCATAAACCGGTTTGAGCCAAATCAGTTAAGTCCAATACTATATTCAACCAGATTTATCTCAAACCAGTTTCAGCCATTTTCAAACTGGTTTATGTGCACTGAACATCTGTTCTGTTACAGGTTTAAACCAGTTTTTGATCACTTAAACTGGTTTATGTGTAATGTCTGTCCCTAGCCTCTAAACTTAAACTGAGATTGCCACGTGGGATTGCAGGCCATGCTGATGTCCACATTGCTGCAACTGTTAGTGGTTCAAGAGCTAGCTTGTTTAAAGCTATCGTTTACATCATATTGACTTGTACAAGTACCCAAAGAATGAAAGTAATGAGGAAAAGTTTAAAAGAATAGGAAAAAGGCTTTGAAATAGCTTCTATATTTGGGTTTCTCCTGTCTTCCTAAGATCAACTGTGAGATACAAGAACAAACCTATGCTCTTAACCTAGGAAAAGGACTGTTCATTGTATAACTAGGGCTTCTGGTTTTATGCTTAAAGTAATTTTTGCTGATAAATAGGAAGAAACATAAAGCAGATTTATCTGATAAAGGAAGCATTTGCATTTCTTGGTCACTGCCCTAGAGCATCAGTTTAAAGCTATTCCAAATCATTCTCCCATTGGTAAGCTGTGCAGTATTGACTGACAACAGGCATATATACAACAAGGAACAAACATACTGGATATGACAGAAATATTTGTATAGCCATGTTTCCTAGTTTCCTTTGTTGCTCATTTGGGGTTTTTTATTTTCCAGTTTTTACCTAGCAACAAGGACAAAAAAAAACACACAAACCCATCCTCATAAAAGGTAGGAAAATGTTATTGTAAAACCAGGTTTTAGCTCTGAGAGTTCAAACTGTCAGTAACCTTTTATTTTATTCTTTCCAGTTTTGGATAATAATTGCCTGATGGAATGAACTTTTATTATTAGCAAGAGTTTCAAATATTTCCATCTATGAATCCAATTCTCCATTTTTATTTCTATTGTGATTATGCATATGTCTCTAAGCAAAATCAACCAGATAAAATATGGAAAATAAAAGAGTTGTATGTTTACAGTACTGCCATAGGTACTGCAGTTCCTGTGAAGGCAAAATTTTAACAGATCCTACTGGAGATACCATGGAAATAACTTACTTTATAGATGACTATGCATTTGTAAGGTGAGTTCCTACATAATAAAGACTTCAAAGCCATCTCAAAATGAGTTCCACTTTCTTACCAGTTTGAGTGCACTAAATAATTCTTTTTGGGCACTGGATTTCAAACTCTTAATGTCAGGGATTATTTTATTCCTTTAGCACTGTAAGGTGTTGTGTGCACATGTTCTGATTATATTACATTAATGATCTAAATTTTGATTTGAACCATTATAGAGAATTTGATTACAGGACAGGTAGTCCAAAATATCTGATTTAGATTACTTTCAATATTTGTCTTTAGCCATCTCTGAAATAATTTCTACCCTTTCTTTCATTTTAAATGTAATAATTGGTTCTAAACTATTCAGATACTAAATATTTAAATAATAAACACCACAATGCTATATAAACTATACCTGATATTGGCTGATTGTGGCAGGGGAGGCAAAATGTATTGGCTGAAACTTCCTTGGTACTAAATTAATTAGTGTTATTACATAAAAAAATAAGGATAATGAACATGTTCCAACCTTTCTGTTTTTGATTCACTGTCAGTTCTGCAAAGTTCAAAGTCCTGGCTAAGAGACTGCAATTCTGCTTGAAGCCTTTTCTCCCGTTCTACACTTTCCTCATAAAACTTCATCTTGTTTTCCATTGCTTTTACTTTTTCTTCCATCAGCTTAAATTCATGAAGGATCAGATAGCTGACTCCACAATATTTACATACTGTTTCATCCCGGGACATCTAAAAAAAGATATAATCAGACTGTATTTAGGAAACTCACTGAAAGAAATTAGAATACTGAATCATTCTGAAACATGACCCATTTAAACTATTCATTGCAAAGGAACATTTCTGATCAGAAAATTATTTATTGTTTTGCCATGTAGTAATAGTGAAAACAGTTGCCACATTAGCAAGAACACAAACTATAATAATATATCTATTTTTGGGAAACTTACAAGGTGTTAGGGACTTTTCAGTGTATCATACATAATTCCCATTATATCATCTAAAAAGGGAAGACAAACCTCTGATGCAGATTTTTATGGATAGGTGGTATAAAGAAAATAAACCTTTACAATCTCTGACATTATTTTCTTGTTGTGACTTTCTGATTGTGTGAGGCAGAAAGATGTTGAAGTTTGTTGTTTCCTGATAAATAGTTTTCTCTTAGACATAACATCTGGAAACGAAAGGAGTGATATACCCCAACAGAGTTCACATTTCACAATGACTAAAGTGGTGGTTATCATGAGATTTAATATACATGGCATTTGTGTGACACAGAAATTCCATCTGATTTGGCAGGTGTGAAGTATTCATCAACATAAATATTCAGCACATAATGGGCAACTAATTGAGCCACCATTTCTTAAAATGAGAGAAAAATTATATATTTATGACACTGCAACACTTTCAGCAAAGCTTAGTGAAAATCTAACAGGCCCAGAAAAATGCACCATGACTCTCAGACATACATACTAGTCAGTAAAGGTGTGTGAAACAGGCCATATTTGTTTTGGATTTGGCCCGAATCCTAATCGGCAGATTCGATGCTGACTCGTAAAATCGGTGATTCGGCCATAGACACAGCTTTAAAAGTTTTTTCTACATATCTCAAGGTACCAGGCACACCTCGTGAATGCTGCAAGGCTGGGGCAGATGGAGTGTGCCACAGGACTGCGTGGTTGGGGGGCCCACATGCTCGGTGGCGAACCCAGAAGTGGACCAGAAGTGCTTTTGGTCCACTTCTGGGTCTTCTGCCAACCACACCGGGGAGCCCCCCACACTCCCATGGGACACTTATTGCCTGGTACCTTGAGGTACGTAGAAAGAACATTTAAAGCTATGTCTATGTCTGAATCGTCAAATCTTTCCAAAACTCTCCAAATTGATTTGGAGAGATTAAATGATCTCCTGATTCGATTCAGATCTGGAGATTCAGCCACCAAATCAGGCTGAATCTCTGCCAAATGGACTCAGGAACCAAAGCTTCACACAGCCCTACTAGTCAGTAGATTGTCGTCCTTGTGCTTTCCATTCTGATCTCTCTCCAAGACTTCAAGACCAAATTTGCTTGGTTTAAAAGTAAAATATTTTTTCTCTCACAGTCCTGTAAGCTCACCCCATCTATTTTAACTAACAATAAACATTCTGCAACTATTTAACAATCTTATTGATACTACACAAGCCAGAAGAGGTGAGTAGTGGTGACAACAACAAGTAGAAAGATGATCTTTGCAGTGCATTCTGAATCTATGGGAGGGAAATAACGTAAGTGTCAGGGAGGTCACATAGGAGGTGATTAAAGCAATCAGATTAGGAAATGGTAGGGGCCTGAAGGACAGTCTCAGTCGTATATAGGCAGACAGGAAGGTCAAGTCAAAGAAATACTGTGTAACAAGTAGCTCAAAGATCTCAAATATCTGGGGTCAGAGATAAGTGTCCAAAAAAAGCCCCGAGCTGCAGGCCTAAGCACCAAGAAGAACAGTGTAATATTTTGAATAAGAAAAGAAAGAGTACTATGGATAGCCCGGAGAAAGTTCAGTTTTGCCCAGGTTATATTAAGTCAAAAGGCAAGATAGCTAAGAGATTACGTCAGGGAAAAAAACTGAGATGCAGGACTGAAGCGAGACATCTGTTTGGCAATCATCAGGGCACAGATGGTATCTGAAGACATTACAATGGATAAGACCACACAAAGAATGTGGAGAGACAAAAAAAATGGGTCTCAAACAGAGGCATGTAGACACTAACAGAAAGTGAGAAGAGCAAAGAGTGACCAACCAACCAAATAGGATGATAAACAAGAGAGGACAAGACTTCAAAAAGGATGCAACCTAATGTGTCTAGAGGAGCAGAAAGGTCAAGGAGGCTGAGAAAGGAGTAGAGGCCTCGATATTTAGTCAAAGAGAGGTCACTAAGGGTAAGTTCATACCAAAGTGACAGTGTACCTTAGCTAGGAAGTTCCCAAGCACACTCATTCCACTCATTCCCACTTGCATGTTCCAAACCCAGAATTATACCATGGCATTCCATTACTGCTGCCCTCAAAACCTTAATCTCAGGTGTACTTGAGACTTGCTGATGAGGATGGCCCTGAAACAAACTCATCAGTGCATTTCTGGGGTTGAAAGTTATGAATAGCATGGGTAGGTAGGGCATGCTCAGGAACAGCCCAGTTGGAGCATGTTGCCACAACAATGCAGACATACCCTAACAGGACTTGATGAGAGCAGTTTCAATTGAGCAGAGATGGCAAGCCAGACAAGCATATCTACAGCATACTGGAGAATATCTATATTTTGGGGTTGGACTTGATCTGCTGAGGTCCCTTCCGACCCTAGCATCTATGAATCTATGAATCTGTGACAGAAGAGAAATCCGAAGCAACACATGAAGACATTGTGTTCAATGAACTTAGAGATAGGGCAGAAGAAAAATGGAAGAGTAGCAGGAAGGACAGGTAGAGCATTCAATAATCAGAACATGAATCACAGAATCATAGAAAGGAGGAGTGGAAGGGATTTGTTAAGGAAAGAACTGGCCAAAGCAACAAGTACTTAAGATTTGATTGTCATGGGTGACTTCAACTACCTCGACATCTGCTGGGAAGATCATTCAGCTAGCTGCAGCAGATCAACCAACTTCTTGGCAACTACAGATGGCCTGTTCTTGACACAGGCTGTGAAGGAGCCAATTAGAAGTAAAGCCACTCTGGACTTGGTGCTGGCCAAAGGGGAAGACGTGCTAAGTGACCTGAAGATTGGAGATGCTCTGGGTGACAGAGATCACATTCTGATCAGATTCACCATCCACTGAAAGGCCCCAACTCCACTGGCAGAACAAAAGTCCTAGATTTCAGATGGGCACACTTTGGTAAACTCAGGAGTCTAGCTGGAAAGGCCCTTTGCAACCAGTGACTGAACGACTTGGGAACTCATGAAGGATGGCACTTCCTCAAGGAGGCTCTTCTTACTGCTCAAAAAGAGGCCATCCCCATGCAATCAAAAGGAGGAAGAGGGACCAAGAGAGCCACCTGCCTCAACAGAGACATTAGGGAACTTCTCAAAAAGAAAAAAGAAGCATACATGAAATGGAAAAATGGATCAGGATCCAGAGAAGAGTATGTTCATGCGGCCAGGGTCTGCAGGCATGAGACAAGGAAAGCCAAGGCATCCATGTAATACAGAGATACTGAAAATGAAGAAAGCAACCAAGCAATCCCTTGGACTGACTAGAGGAAAAACAGAAAGAATTAACATTTAGTTAAAAGGAAAGTTCTCAAAAATTATCAGAGTCCCTATGTCATGGTTCAAAAACATGTATTATTTTTAAATATACCTTCATAAAAATGGTAGTTAAGGAGGTTTGCTCTGGAATTACCAAGCAAGGTTTATTTTCCTGTCTCTCAATTTTGCCTAAGTATAAAATGACCATAGCTACAGTGGCTCTGAATGAACTGAAAAATCAAGTTTATTTTTCCTGGCAGTTACAATCTGTGCTTGGAAATATGAAACTGTTATTCAGAATAAATACCATAAGGTTCCAAGCGCTGAAATTACTGTATTGAAAAAGGTCAAAATGAGCTGTTATGGGGAAGGGAGGAGAGGACTGTTATCCCAAAAAGAACATTGTGCTCCCTTGCAGCCCCACCACTTCTGTCTGTCTTTCAAATAAACAATTATGGACACTTTGCTCTGTCCCTGCATAATATCCATGTCATGGGTCGAAACTGGAATTTTAAAATGTAAATCTAATAACATTAGAATCTTCCAAAGGAGCAAGTCTGTTACACGTTTTCTAACTGAACTGACTGGTTTGGAACTATTAAGTTTAAATTTAAAATGGTAATATACAAAAATAATTCCCCTCTGGATTTAAGGGGAAAAGGTTGTATTTTGTTTGTTTGTTATCTCCCCCTACCCTAGGTAAAGTAAACTAAAAATGTAGAGGACTGTCAATAGCACCTTCAGTTTCTGATCTTGAATTGTCTATCTACCCAACAGTCACACTAAAATGAGGTGGTTTTATGAAAGGGCAGGAGAAAAAAAAGCTCTGTCTCCCCATCAGAGCCTTACTTTTCTCAGTAATGTGCTACAGTCACTGGAATGCAAGGCAGATATTCGTAAGCCACATTTAAACTAGATGACTCTGTAACTGGTAACAGCCTAGCTATGGCAGCATGGAGCTCAGCACAGGCTGTACACTAAAGCAGTATAATGAAAAGGCATGATTCACAGGTGAAAATGCAGCTAAGTCAAGGCCTGATCCTGCTAAATGTTAGGCCCCTCAACTGTCTTTAAAGTCAGCCTGACAGGATTAAACATTTTTAAAAAAATGTTTTGTTTTTCTTCATCAAAATGCTTCTGCATCAGTTAAATAATGAAGGAAAGGAACTGTGACTGCCTCTCTCTAACAAGTGTGTAGCACTGTACTGTTCTTGATATTGCTATCTGTTATTGTTACACTGCTGATAAAGTTACTTTGAATTTCAAATAGGAATGCAAGATGAAACATGTATACTTAAGACTTAGAAAAAAAAACATTATAAACATCTAACAATAGCTACAAACCTAAACAAATATAATCATTATTTTTTTCTGTGATAGGACACAGAAAAGGGAAACAATTAATTGTAAGAAAACAAGTACACTGAGGGTATGGCATAGTATTAAATAAAGTATGCAGTAACCAGCCATCTGAAATAAGATTCATTTTCAAACTTGAAAAATTTACTC